CCCCCCCCAAATCAGCCCAGAAGAATGCTATCCATTCCCCTTGGTTTGCCTTTCATTGGAGACCCTACAACCACACCCATCCCTGATTTTATTCCAATAAAAGGACCTAAAACATGGCTGATATTTCAAGGCTTTGAGAGAGGATGTTGCTAGGAAGTTTCCTTATGTCTACATTCAATGTATTGAGTATTTCTTCCCCCTTCCCCCTGCCTATATAACCAGGCCCTATTGCCATTGTAAACACATCTTTGAATATTGAAAACCTTTTACTCTTTGAGTATTCATAAAATAGTGTGATGCTATTTTAGCCAAATTCATAATTCTATATCTTAAGAGTGGTTATCTTAAGTGTGAGTTTTAGGTTCTAGATATTTGATTGAGTGTGTAATATCTTGATTAAATCCTAGAGTTCAACCCCCAAGTTAATCTAGAGGTGAGCTTATCCTTTAGTATTAATTTGGCTCCAAATTAAGATAAGAGTGTGTTTATCTCTTATTCCTTATTTGGAATTTATCCCATCCTTTCTAAACCCATCCTTCATCCCTGATTTTCCACTCTTTTTGATAATATCAAAACCCAAAAAGAACTCCTTCACATTCTAATATTTTCATCTAGCCCATTTCCCCTTCATTATTCCCTAATTCCATCTCCAAAAATAACAACTTGATAATACCCTCAGTTCATCCCTAACATTTGGTATCGGAGCTCAACTTCGACGACTTTATTAACTCTCGACGACTACTCGGAAGACCGGCGACGCAAACGTTGCACAAAAACAAGACTGCTGAAAATTGCTCCTGAAAATTTCAGCCCCAAAGAAGTGATCACGGAGGAAGGTTCAAAACTGATTTCAAAGTGAAACTTTCCAGTTTGGAAGTTTATCATTTTATCTTCGTCTGGCCGCTGATTTCACTCAATTCCGAGTTACGGTTCGTGAGATACGTCCATCCAAAGTTAAGAACACAATTCTGCCAACAGCCTGGCAACCTTGCTACTTTGGCCAAAGAAACACCCAAAACCCACCCCCACCACCTTGTTTACTTCAGCCAACCCCATGCCAAACCACCCAAAAACCAAGCCAACCAACCAGCTGCAGGAAAATTCCCTCCTTTCTCTTTTTTTCAGCCAAAGCACCCAACAATCTCTCCCCAACAAGCCATCTCCCTTCCTTCATTCCTTGCTGCCCAAAAAAACCAGCCCCTAAAACACCTTTTTCCCTTTTGATCATTTAAGCCATAGCTACTGCCTTCCCTTATTCCTAACCTTTTAAATCCACCAAGACATGTCTCACACCATCCAATACATGTCCCATGAAGATCTAGTTGTTGATCAAAAGAAACTAAAGAAGGAGCTTGATCTTTTGATGAAGAAGATTGGAGAGTGCACAAATTCAGTGGATATCCCCATATATATTTGAAGGAAGAAACGATCCGGAAAAGTTCTTACGGTGGGTAAAGAAGGTCGAGAATATCTTAACATTCAAAGATGTGCTCGAAGGTAAGATGGTCAAGCTAGTGGCATCTCGGTTCCAAAGACATGCCTCCACTTGGTGGACTAGTGTCACCATTAAGAGAAAGCTTGAAGGAAAAGTCAAGGTTCAAACTTTGGAGAAGATGAGAACGCTCTTGATCAAGAGGTTCTTGCCCAGAGATTTCCAACAAATGGTACCCAAAAACACCTTCAAAACATTTCCTACAACCATGCCATTTTCTCCACAAGAACCAGTTCATGTAACCCTCCCAAAAACCCCAACACCAAACCCCTTACAAGCTGCCACAACCATTTCCATTCCTTCCCCTACACCTACACTTCAAACACCATCAAAAACCACCTCGTTTTTTTTCCTTATCTACTGCCCAAACTAATCCTAAAACCCATTCAATACCCCTGCCCCAAAACCCTTCTAAAACCATGTCTTTAACACCAAAACTTACAGCCCAAAACACTGCACAAGCTACCTCCATTCCCACTGTCCAATACCCTTATAAAACCATCACCTTGCACCCTCTTAATACTTCCCAAAACATTCAAAAAGCCACTGCCATGTCCACAACCCACACTCCCTCTAAATTCCCCTCTTCAACTTACAATCATATTGTCCAAAATGTCTCTCAACAAACTCCTTCTCCTATACCTAAGAACCCAACTCAAACCAGCCCTTTTCCTTCCTTAGCCACTGCCCATATTCACCCCAACACCTTCTCCACACCTCTGCCCCAAAACTCCTTAAAACCCATCTATACTTCTTCCTTGACTACTTCCAAAACTAACCCAACACCCCTTCCCACACCCCTGCCAAAAAAGTCCTCAAAACCCATCTATATTCCATCCCTAGCTACTGCCCAAAGTGATCCAAATACCCTTTTAGCACCCCTGCCCCAAAAGTCCTCACAAACTATCTTTTTTCTTCCTTGAATACTTTCCAAATTAACCCCAAAACCCTGCCTCAAAACTTTCCTAAACTCATGTCTATAACCCCTCCACAAACTGCCCAAAACACCCCCAGAACCACCTTCACTTCCAGCACTCAAAACCCCCACGAAACCATAGCCTCTCCACCGAATGCCATGGTCATACCCCCACCAGAAACCTGCCCATCTATTCCTAAGAATACCCATTGATTCCATTGTCAAGAGATTGGTCATTATGCTTTTGAATGTCCAAGAAAGAATCAAAATCCCTTGGTCAAGAATGAAGAGAAATCAGAATCTTTGGGACAAAAGGAAGGACAAGAAGATGTAAAGTGTCTAGGCCAAGATGAAGATGAACTCCTGGTCATTGATAGGCCATTGAGTAGTTTGGCCCATTCTCATACTCATTTGGCTAACCAAAAGGAGGATGGTCTGCTTATCACCATGAAAGGAAGTTGTTTCAAGGTGATACCCAAAGCAATGGTTGTGGTGCTTCCCATCAATCCGGTGTCTTTCCCAAGATCATATTCAATCCACTGCCCAAACCAAGGAAAGCCGTGGGTATTTGATCCCATTGTTTCTCTTAATGGATATGAAGACACATGCTCATCCATTATGAAGAAAAAGGAATTGACAAACATATATGTGCCAACTATCAGCCCCATGTGTTGTCCTAAAGAAGAGAAAGACACTCGTTTAACTCCCCAAAAGTTTTATGAGAAGAAGACTCAAAGTGGAGTCATGAGCCAAAATGCAAGAGCCTTGCCCCGAAGGTTATCTTCACTAATGGTACCTCGTACCAAGTTTGTTAAGTTTTTGCAGGTTCAAAGTAAGGAAGGAATACAAGAAACATCCGAGTTTTATTATAAGACTCGTGAAAAGCTTGAGAAGAGGAGTGAGTTGAAACGTCCCACCCACTTTCAACCCGGTGATCTAGTGTGGGTCCATATTCATAGAGAGCGTTTTTCTGAGAAACACAAGTCAAGGCGGAAATTGCGAGACGATGGTCCATTCGAAGTGCTAGCCCGAGTCAACAACAATTCCTACATGGTTGACCTTACAAGAGGTCAAAGAGTTGCTGCCACATTCAAAAAAAGGGACCTTAGTCCATATGACGGTCTTGATTATCCGTTGAGTTTGAGGGCAAACTCTTTTGAAGACCGGGAGGATGATATATCTAGGCCCGACCCTATCATACAATCCCCCATATCCCACACCCTCATGGAAACCAAAGGACTTAGGTTCAAACATTATGATCCATTTTAGTGAGAATTCAAAGTCCTTTAGCCCGAAAGGCCAAAATAACTTTCGTTTTGACCTAAGGGTTCCGCTAGCCAACCCCCACTCCGTCCAACCCAACCCTAAACATCCAAATATATTTCATTTCCTTTTGATATCCAAAATAAAGTCTCTTCTATCTATTTTAATCCCTGGTCACAATAGGAAACCAAAACAGCCCCATTCATCTTCCAACATCCACCCAACATGGTCCCTACTATGTTCCCTAGTACAACCCACTAAACAACCATAAAATTCCAGGAGAAACATTGTACTTTCTTAACCCTTTAACCACCAAATAAATCCTTATATATGCAGCCAAAGTACCACACATTATCCTTTCCCTTTGTCCCCCCTAGTTGGCTGAACACATCCCCCCCAAATCAGCCCAAAAGAATGCTATCAATTCCCCTTGGTTTGCCTTTCATTGGAGACCCTACAACCACACCCATCCCTGATTTTATTCCAATAAAAGGACCTAAAACATGGCTGATATTTCAAGGCTTTGAGAGAGGATGTTGCTAGGAAGTTTCCTTATGTCTACATTCAATGTATTGTGTATTTCTTCCCCCTTCCCCCTGCCTATATAATCAGGCCCTATTGCCGGTTTATCACCCTTCACGGTGGTTTATGGCTCGAACCCTCTAACTCCTCTTGAGCTTGACCCTATCATGACAGGTACAGGATATAGATGGGAAGCGGAGCAAAGATCAAAGCACATTCAAGATCTCCATCAAAAGGTTCGACAAAAGATAGAAGCAATGAATGAACGAGTGAGCGAACACATCAACAAAAGGAGAAAGAGCATGTCTTTTGAACCTGGTGATTTAGTATGGATCCATCTTCGGAAGGAACGTTTCCCTACAAAGCGTAAATCAAAGCTGTTACCACGAGCCGACAGACCATTCGAAGTCATTGAAAAGGTCAACGAGAACGCTTACAAGATCAACCTCCCAGGAGACTACGGTGTTTCAGCAACCTTCAACATTAAAGATCTCAGCCTGTACTTTGAGCTTGAAGAACTTCCGAGTTTGAGGGCAAACTCTTCCGAAGAAGGGGAGGATGTTGTATCCCCGGTTACGTCAACTCATTCCCAAGAAATTAAACTAAATGGATTAATGTCCAAATGTCACAATTGATATATCCCAAAGCACCACAAATCACCCTCAAGTCCTTAAGGAAATCAATGGAATAATGTCCAAGTGTTATGACCCCCTCTGGAATGAAATCATCACCAAACCATGCACCCTAACCATACTTACCCTGAACCCATCACCAACTTAATAACCAATCCCTACATTTCACAATCCATTCCCAGGAATCCAAAGAAAACCAAGCCACAATTTCCCTTTCCTCTTATTTTACAATGCCGAAAATAAGTGTCCAAAACACACCCAGCATGGTCCCCATTATGTTCCCCAATACACTCAAATTATAACCCAAAATGCCCAGGGATATTTTCCTTTCACAATAATACATCCACTCCCCACAACAAACCTACAACAAAACTCCAAATGACACACCCCACACAAACCCCTTTGTCTCCCAACCCTGACCAAATTCAAATTCCCAAAACCTCCACAAATACCCAGCCAAATGTACCACTTCATCTTACCCCCACTCCTTGACCCTCAACCTCAGCCCTCCCCACATTCATCCCTCCTTCCCCCAACATTTCCTGCAACTCAGGAATAGCCCAAAACCCCAGCAAACAACCCATATCCCTGATTTCATTCCACTCAAGAAACATAAGCACATGGGCATTATTTTGAGTGAGTTGTATTTTCCCTTATTCCATTTTTAAATCAAAGTGATTCACTTGTGTATTTTATTCCAAATTCCTAATCTTATATCTTAAGAGTGGTTCTCTTGAGTGTGAGTTTTAGGTTCTAGTTATTTAAATAAGTGTGTGATATCTTATTTGAATGCTAGACTCAACCCCAAGTTAAGATAAGAGTGTGTAATATCCCTTAACACCAACTTGGCTTTTCCCAAAGAAATACTTCTTTTCCTGTCTCGAGCTGTCAAATAATCGATTATCGCTAGTAGAAATCGATTATCTATCCTTCGTGAAACATCTGTAGCCTTCAATAGTCGATTATCACTTTCAGACAATTGATTATCAGCCTTTCCCAGAAACCTGCAATTCTCAATAATCGATTAACACTCCTCCGTCAATCGATTATCGTCCTTCTCAAAAATTCCCAGAATACTGCCAAGAACCTGAAGCCTTCAACAATCGATTATCCACTTCGGACAATCGATTATCTCCCCCTCCCTGCAAATAAAGAGATTTTGACTATAAAACCCTGAGCTTAGATATAACATTTGGTATCGGAGCTTGTTGTTGAGCATTCCCTTGAGGCCATACAACACACTTCCCCTTTTCCTTCCTTTCCATATCCTTTACTTTCTTTCCCTTACTATCATCATGTCAAACACTTCCAACAACCTGTCCAACGAAGAACTCCTAGCCTCCAATGCTGCTCTCAAGGCCCAAGTTGAGTACTTGGCCAAGCAAGTTTCCCAGCTCACTAAACTCAAGATGATCGAGCATGGTGAATACCCTGGAGGAAAGTGAAGAAGACGAAGAAGTTCACCCCGAAGCTAACTCTAGTAACACCACTAGAGAAGAGAATCATGAACGAGGAGCTACCGATTTCAAGGTTGACATACCAACCTTTGAAGAGAAGAACGATCCGGATGACTTTCTAGAGTGGCTGGAAACTGTTGAGCGCGTCTTTGACTTCAAAGATGTGCCCGAAGAAAAAAAGGTCAAGATCGTGGCATTGAAGTTTCGGAAGTATGCCTCCACTTGGTGGTCCAACCTATCCACCAATAGAAGGCGAGAGAATAAGGCCCCTGTGAAGACTTGGCTCAAGATGAGGAGCTTGTTGAAGAAGAAGTTCATGCCCGAACAATATGTACGGGACAACTTTTCCAAACTTCAACACCTAAGGCAAGGTCCCCGCTCAGTTGAAGACTATACTCGGGAGTTTGAAGAACTCTTGATGAGATGTGATCTTCACAAAAACGATTCACAAACATTGGTACGTTACCTATTTGGATTAACACTCAAATAGCTAATGTAGTAGAGTTGCAACCTTATGATACCTTTGAAGAGCTCTCTAAGCTGGCTCTCAAAGTTGAGTCCCAACTTAAGAGAAACAAAACCTCATTTGTCCGTACTTCACCCTTTTCCAAAACCCCTCCAACTACCTCAAAGATAACTCCAAACACCCCTGCTCAAAATACCCACTAAAAACCCAATTCTATCCCGTCTACGTCCACCAACCCACCCCCATTCAAGACAGCCCAAACAAACACCCGGACTCCCAAATGTTTTCGTTGCCAAGGCATAGGACATTTTGCCAATGAATGTCCCAACAAGAAGATAATGGCCATTGTTGAATGCGAAGAAGAAGAGATCAGTCCCTCATGGGCTGAAGAAGAGCTTGAAGAAGAAGAGTGTGTTGGAGCGGACGAAGGAGAACTCTTGGTCATCCAAAGGGCCTTGAGTAACATAGCTAGTCCAGATGACCAACTACAGTGGGAAAACATTTTCCATACCCGTTGTACTATTCAAAAGAAGGTGTGTACTTTGATCGTGGATAGCGGAAGTTGTACCAACGTCGCTTCAAAAACGTTGGTAGATGTTAGGGGTGAACTGGGGGTCTTATCAAGTTTTTATTTTTGGAGATGGGATTGTGGAATAATGAAGGGGAAATGGGCTGGATGAAAATATGGGAATGTGAAGGAGTTCTTTTTGGGTTTTGATATTATGAAGAAGAGTGGAAAATCAGGGATGAAGGATGGGTTTAGAAAGGATGGGATAAATTCCAAACAAGGAATAAGAGATAAACACACTCTTATCTTAATTTGGAGCCAAATTAATACTAAAGGATAATGTTTAGTGGGTTGTACTAGGGAACATAGTAGGGACCATGTTGGGTGGATGTTGGAAGATGAATGGGGCAGTTTTGGTTTCCTATTGTGACCAGGGATTAAAATAGATAGAAGAGACTTTATTTTGGATATCAAAAGGAAATGAAATATATTTGGATGTTTAGGGTTGGGTTGGACGGAGTGGGGGTTGGCTAGCGGAACCCTTAGGTCAAAACGAAAGTTATTTTGGCCTTTCGGGCTAAAGGACTTTGAATTCTCACTAAAATGGATCATAATGTTTGAACCTAAGTCCTTTNGAGACATTCAACACAAGATTGATCTCATTCCTGGAGCTGCCCTACCAAACAAGCCTGCGTACCGAATGAACCCTGAGGAAACCAAGGAGGTCCAACGGCAAGTTGATGAGTTACTAGCCAAAGGATTCGTGAGAGAAAGCCTGAGCCCCTGTGCTGTTCCGGCTCTCTTGGTGCCAAAGAAAAATGGTACTTGGCGTATGTGTTGTGATAGCCGAGCCCTTAACAAGATTACCATCAAGTATAGGTACCCCATACCTAGGCTTGAGGACATGTTGGATGAACTTCATGGATCCAATATCTTCTCAAAGATTGATCTCCGAAGTGGTTATCATCAAATTCGAATCTTTGAGGGAGATGAATGGAAAACAGCATTGAAGACGAAGTTCGGGTTATACGAGTGGCTAGTTATGCCATTTGGATTAACCAATGCACCAAGCACATTCATGAGGCTAATGAATCAAGTGTTGAAGCCATTTATAGGTCATTTTGTCGTAGTGTACTTTGACGACATTTTGGTCTACAGGCGGAACGAGGAAGATCATGCTAATCCCCTCACTTTGGTGATTAAGAAATTGGAAGAAGAGAAGTTATATGGAAACCTTGAGAAGAGTCAATTCTTTTCTCAGGAAACCAAGTTTTTGGGATACTTTATCTCAAGTGAAGGGATCAAAGTCGATGAGAAGAAAACACACGCCATACGAGATTGGCCCGTTCCCACAACAATGCAGCAAGTTAGGAGCTTCCATGGCCTTGCATCCTTCTATCGGCGATTTGTGAAGGACTATAGTACTATCACTGCCCCCCTCACGGACTTGACAAAGAATCCGAAGTTTGAGTGGAACTTGAGAGCCCAACAAGCCTTCGAAGCAATCAAGGATCGCTTAACGCATGCCCCCGTATTGGCCCTGCCCAGTTTCTAGAAGTTGTTGGAGGTGGAGTGTGATGCGTCGGGAGTTGGCATTGGGGCTGTCCTAACTCAAGATGGACACCCGGTTTCCTACTTCAGTGAGAAGCTCAATGACACACGAAGATGCTATTCTACCTACGACAAAGAATTCTATGCGTTGGTACGGTCTCTTGAGCATTGGCGGCACTATCTCGTGAGTAAGGAATTCATCCTTCACTCCGACCATGAGGCGTTGAAGTACATTCAAGGGCAGCACAAGCTTCGACCCCGTCATGTGAAATGGGTTGAATACATTCAAACCTTTACATTCACCATCAGGCACAGGAACGGGTCCATGAACAAAGGCGCGGATGCGTTGTCTCGGAGACACTTATTACTAACGGTACTTAGTACCAAACTTCTTGGTTTTGAATTTTTGCAGGAACTCTACAAGGATGATGAAGATTTCAAGGAAATGTATGCCCAATGCTTATCTCGGCCTCATGGAGATTACCTAATCAAAGATGGTTACCTCTTTCGTGGTAATCAACTGTGCATCCCGAGGAGCA